AAAAGATCCGCTTTCATAGCAGGAACGACGGAACTTTTGGAATCGATTCACCAACATGGAGCAAAGGCGAATTGCAAACCGGTTTAAATGTAAGTGGGAATGAGGCTCTTTTTGTGCTAATGTTACTTGTAAATCATAATCCTTGAATGTAATGGCAATAGTTGTAACATAAGCAACTAGCAAAATTAAAATTTTATCTTTAACTTACAAAATCAAATGCACCACCAAAGTCTATTTACATTTGCATAGTTTCAGGTGGTTAAAGTGAAAAATTGGTAAGATGTGATTTTTTTTTTACAGAAAATTTTAAAAGAGTAAAAAAAAATTAAACAAAATGCTGAGGCCTCTCCTTTCTCCACCGACTGAGCTTCACCCCACTCACACCTTCTCTTCTGCTGAATTCCAGGGTTTTAAAGGGATGCAGTTGAATATCACAGCACATTTTTGTACTTTGCACCAATTGAAGCAAGACGAGGACAGAGTAGGAGAGTGGGAGGAAAGGAGAGAAACTGGGACATTTTAAAAGCAGCGAAACCTGGAACTTTCTGCATTGAAAATACGTATCCTGCCTGCTACTCTACTGTGGTCCTTCCCACTCTGGAAGGGAACTTGTTGACTTTTGCCGTGTGAAACCTAATCAGTTTCCCAGTCAGATAACTTTCTTTTGTAAATGCCTGCAAAAAGGAATATCAGCCTATGAGACTTCTCTCAGCATCGCTTCGCTTTATGCTGCTGCACACAGTAATTCAACTCCAATCCATTTGTGTTATCTGAACCACAAAGGAATACAAAGAGATCCATTTCCATGTAGTTTCCTTTTCGATCCCAAACTATGAAATATTTAAGCGCCAAAGCTTTTTGCTTTCAACAGGTTACCTCTTGCTCTTCAAAGGACTGATCTTTCTCTTCTTGGACGCATAGAAGATGCTGAACTTTCTCTGTATGGCTTCCATTTTCACATCTTGCCATGCTGCAAACAGGCAGCTAGAAAAAGAAGAAGAAGGAGATTGTAGAAATGGATTTAATTGTTCATGGAGACAACAAAAACCCCTGAACTGTCCAGCAGGTATGAAGAAACAAGCAAAGAGCAATTCCTTTTTCTTGGTTTGTCTGCTTTAAAGTCTCCACTTCTCTGATGCATTTATTATATTTTTCTGCAAACAACTTTTTTGATGGATGGTTTCACTTGGCTACTCTATTCTGAATCCAGACCCCATGAAACTTTTTTTTCTGATGCTGTGAAATTTAAACTAGTTGGTTTAATGTAGTATTAGGGTATAAAGTTTGTGTGGATGATTTAAGTGGATATTTTCATATGTTACACATCAAATACAGGTTGAGTCTTATTTATCCAAAATGCTAGGGACCAGAAGTGTTTTGGATTTCGATTTTTTCCCAAACGTTGGAATATTTCCATATGAGATATCTTGGAGATGAGACCAAAGCCTAAACATGAAATTCCTTTTTATGTTTTGTAATACACCTTATACACATAGCCTGGAGGTGATTTTATACATCATATGTTTAATAATTTTGTGCATGAACCAAAGTTTGTGTATCATCGGAAAGCAAAGGTGCAACTCAGCCACCCATGTGGACAATTTTGGATTCTGGAGTATTTTGGGTTTTGGAAGACTCAACCTGCATACATAATAAATGCATTAAACATTTTTAGTATCATTCAGTTTTTAAAGGCCATTGTCAAAACTTGAATGGTGAACCTAGACATTTGGTAGTGTCCCTGCATTCCAATGAATTTCAATTCATCCTTTTCACTTCAAGGGTTTTTCTGCCCGGACGACAGTTCAGCCCCAGTTCCGTGTCCAGAAGGTACCTTCCGCTCTTTGGAAAGTTTTCCTTCCCATTTGTGTTTGCCCTGTCCTGTGGATTTCTTCAATGCTAAGCGTGGCCAGTCAGCTTGCTTTCCATGTGGCTCCGAGGCCGTCCAACCCAAGGAAGGCCAAAAAGTTTGCACCTGCCTTCGGGAAGGCCGGATATTCCAGGTATTGAACTTTTTCCAAATTGTAGCTCATTCATGTACCTGTCCAAGTCCAATGTTAGACTCATGTGTGTGAAATCCAGCGCACGCTTTCTGTGAAAACATTCCAGGTCAAAAAATAGAACGAGACCTTAAAGAGATTTTAAGGATGGAGTCGACTGAAATAACTAAAAGTACCAAATGCATCTCAGGAAGTAGACTTAAGTCTATGAAAGCTCATGCTGCCAGTTGAAAAAAAGAAATAAATCTATCCTCAAGCAATCAAAGAAAGAAAGAAAGAAAGAAAGAAACTGTCCAGTCTCCTTAAAGCCACATAAACTAGCAGCCATCAAGTTAGAATAAATTCTCCAATCATGGGGGAAACTCCTTTTTTTTTTTTTTTTTTTTTTTTGATGGTGACTCCCAGAATTCCCTGCAGGCTGGGGGATTCTGGGAGTTGTCCAAAAAAAGAACTATTTGGTACCCAAACTCTGCCCAAATGTCATCTGTGCTATGCCAAGGGGTACTTCATTTTTATCTAACCTGAATTTAATGCCACATTTTTCCATCTAATGTAGCCTTTTTGCATGGGGAAAGCATTCTGGCCTCCTTTTAATCTGAATGCCTTTTTAAAGGAAATTCTTTTATTATTTATTTGTTGTTATCTGCTTTCAAGTCAACTCCTAGCTTATGGCAACCCTATTTTAGGGTTTATTTATTCGGAAGAGGTTTGCTATCCCCTTTTTTTTGAGACCGAGAGAGAGTAACTTGCCAATGGCCACCCAATGGATTTCCATGGCTGAGCAAGGATTCGAACCCTGGTTTCTGGAGTTCTGGTCCAGCATTCAAACCATTATACCATGCTAGCTTTAAAAAATATATCGGGTTTCCTTGAAATAGATTTCTTCAGAAGAGGTTTGACATTGTTTTCCTCTTTGGCTGAGAAAGTGGGACTTGCCCAAGGTCATCTAGTGGGTTTCCATGGCTAAGCAGGGATTTGAACCCTGGTCTCCCAGAGTCTTAGTCCAACACTTAAACCACAATGGCTCTCTTGTTTGTTTGTTTGTTTGTTTGTTTTTCCAGCCCAGTGATGCTCAGTGTCCATGCGCTCCTGGTTATAAAAGCCCTACCAATGACCGGAGATGGGCCTGTGTGAAGGAAGTATACAACATTTGCAGAGATGCATCTGTCCGGAACCAAGAAGGACAGTGCCTAACTAAAGAAGAATGGACACAGTACTGTGCAGACAAGGTATTGTGGACCATGGGTTTAACATGGGTCAGGCAATTCCCTATTTTGAGCCTTAGTGAACTTGATTTTGTGCCCCTAATTTAGTCATGGATTTCTCAGGGTGCATCGACACCATAGAAATAATGCAGTTTGACATCACTTTAACTGCCATGACTCCATCCTACAGAACGATGTCTGGAATATTTCGGTTTACCTGCTGAATACATGCTGCTATCATCTCATTTCCCCTGCTAGGTTTGTGCCAGCCCAAAAGACTACCAGAGATATGACAAAGTCCTCGGCCTTTGCCTTTGTCAAGCCGACAATCTCGACAGCGTCTGCAATCCCCAATGCAGACGGCGGCAAAGAAACATTTTGCAATTTATCTGTGACCAAGAACCAGCACGGCTTTCTTTGAATCACAGAAATGGGAGCCAGGTAATAGCACAAATGTCAGCTAAGTTGGCTAGCAGACTCGCTGGAAGGCTACTTTGGCAAGACTGTAGTGGGACAATGCAACATGCCTCTCCTTTTTAAAAGAATGCAACAGAGAAGACTTAAAAAGGTAAAAGGTAAAGGTCTTCCCCATTGACAAGGCTGTCAAGTCGTGTCCGACCATCGGGTCAGTGCTCATCTCCATTACTAAGCCAACAGTATTGAGTAGCCAGTGCCAGCAATGTTGGGGAGCCAGGGCTAGCCATAATGTGTAGCCCAACAGTCCCAACAGTATTGAGTAGCCAGTGCCAGCAATGTTGGGGAGCCAGGGCTAGCCAGTGATAGTAAAGCATAAAGGTATTCCCCACTGACAAGGTTGTCAAGTCGTATCCAACCATAGGGGATGGTGCTCATCTCCGTTACGAAGCCAAAAAGCTAGCATTGTCAGAGACTACTCTGTGATCCTGTGTCCAGCATGATTGCACAGAACGCTGTTTACCTTCCCACCAAAGTGGTCCCTATTTATCTACTTGCATTTGCACGCTTTCGAACTGCTAGGTTGGCAGAAGATGACACTAGTGACAGGAGCTCATGCCATCATGCAGCACCTGGGCCTCAAAGTGCCAACTTCCCAATCTTGCAATCCATAGAGTCAGCGTCTTTATCACATGAGCCACCGCATCCCTTGACGTGACTTTTAGCCACTTCCCTATTTTTAATTCTGGGTTTGGCAATGGGCGAGATTTGTATTGCTTAGAATTTATCTTTAAATTCTTTATAGGCTGATATTTTATTGGAAGAGATCAAGCCTTCACTGCAAGTGTTAAACTTCCACAGTGAAAAGGATTGCACTTCTGAAGAAAAGAAAGGATCCCAGCCTGTGTACGTAGTAAAAACAAACGGTAAGGGAAAAGTTCAATTTTTTAAAATAAAAAATAGCTTTTCTTTACTAAGCCAATCTCATTATTTTTCCCCATCCCCTTTAATTATCACAGCCATTTATATGTGAGTTGTGGTCCTATATTGAGGAGATGAAGTATAGACTCCAAATGGCTAGAGAGGAGCTCAAGGAAGATACATTGGCTACGGCTTGATCTCCTTTGACATATCAGCAACTGATTAATAATCATTATACAAAGGGAACTTGTAGCACCTTTGAGACTGACTGTGCGAAAGAAGTTGTAGCAAGAGCTTGGTCAATGAGCAATAATCATTGTGTGGTCCACCATCATATCAATGAACATTTTTGGTTTCATCTATTTAAAATTATTTTCATGTAAGATATCATGTTATCGCCCTTTGGATATAGACAAATTTAAAACCAGTATTTGTGCTGCTTTTCTTGTTATTTTGCTGGGAGATGGCTTGTTTGTCTCTTTGGTTTTATTTTTCTTTCCTTGTTATATTGATGTTTATTCTTGTATTATTCTTGCTTATTGTGTGTGTATATATATATATATATATATATATATATAGTTAAAAAGGGATGGAGCATAACTTTACGTTCGTGGAGTTATGCCACAATTGTGCAATGTCACCTCACGAAGGAATTGTAGTTGTGACCCTGTGCAACTGAATGAGCAACCAGATGTGGATGTGCATTGGGCATGGAACATCTGCACACACAATGTACAATTCACATCTGTGCATGCAATGCACAACCAACAATGGCAACTGCTTCTCTAGGGAAACTTACACATAATTAATTCACAACCAGGTATATCTTTTCTACACCCTTCTGTTATTCTTTCCAAATATTCTGTTTCCATTAATAGAGAAATGTCACAATTTAAATCTTTTCCCTCTTCAACGAAAGACCATTTCTTTGGATCCGACAGAGGTTCAGGTGACAGGAACAGGCTATGAGAATCCCAATATTTATTTAATATCTATTTCACTGCAGGAAGAGGGTTCTTAGGGGTATACAATCCGGAACCAGAGCTGCTCCATTATTTCCTTACCACAGATGGGACCACATCAGCAAATGGATGGCCATCCACAGCTTCCTCAGGTATTTGTTGTCTCTATGTACATCTCTCCGTCTGTCTATAGAAGATAAATCCAGTTTCAGTCCCAACTGGTGGACAGAATAATTTTTTAAAATAAAATTGAAAAGTAGCTTTAAAAGCCAGCAAAGGAATGGTTTCCAGAACTTCTCCTTGTACCTAAAGGATGACAAAGAAACACATCTGGATGCTGAAATTTGGGTGCTGATACCAAGCGGAGAGAGCTAGATAGTGGTTCTCACATCAGTGGGATGGTGAATCCAACCTGAGTGTTAATTTGAAATTTAAAGGAAATGTCCAGGCAGTCTAACCTATTTAGGGAATAGGGCTCAGGCTTTTGGAAAGCTCTGAGCAAAGCAGAGCAGGTTGTCCTCGATTTGGCAGGGACAGTCCCATTTAGACCTCTGTCATCCCACTTTTTCTGTGTCTTTTAAAATATCCCAAAGCCTTATCATACAAGAAACAAAGTGGAAATAGAGCCGGAAATGGAGCCTTATCCCATGAGAAAACCAAATGGAAATGGAGCCGGAGAGTAGCGGCTTTCTCCGTGCCTTATCGCATGATGTTGTAGCGCTTTGGTTCTCTTCCTGTGGGAGATGGTTGTCAAAGCGTGTCTTTTGTCAAACAGGTTTTCCAGCTAGAAAAAAAAGATGCACTTTTCAAGCTGTCTCCCATGAGAGGAGGACTGAAGCACTACAACGTCATGCAATAAGGCACAAAGAAGGTCACTACTTTCCGGGTCCATTTCCACTTTGTTTTCTCATGTGTTTTCTCATGACTCCCAGTTTCTCTCTCCTCCTTCCACTTTCCTTCTTTGTGCTCAGCTTGCTTCATTTGCTGCACACTGACTTCAAACTGCAAAAGTAATTTGCACTCAATTAGCTCAGTGGTTCGCATGATACTATAAATTGAAAGCACAACAATTGCTACAGTGAAGGTGTTATTATTATCCCTGGAAGTCATACATATGGGTAAGGAGAAGTCTTCTGTTATATGCGCAGTTGTGAGGAGCCACATATTAACATAAACCATTATCTTGGTTCATACCTTTGCTAATGAATTGGTATTTGTGAATATATCCCAATTCAGATTTTCTGACATGGGTCTTATAATTATATTCTGTGGTCTTATTTTCTCCCAGGAACATCTGGCAAAGAAAATCCTAGATTTTACTGGTCACGGCTCCAGCAGCCTTCCAACTCTACACTGAAAATCACATTTACTGGCATCTTTAACCCAACTGCATGCCTCAGAATTCATGAGATCATCATGTTCATTGTTTCCAAAGATCATTATCCCATCTACGATGTGTAAGTACCATTTCTGAACCCAGTTGAACATTTCTGTTGAAGTTGGGATTCTTCATCAGGAGACATAGGGTGCATCCGCACTGCAGAAACAAAGCAGTCCAAAACCACTTTAACTGCTATGATGCTGTCCTACAGAATTCTGTGATTTGTAGTTTGGTGAGGCACTAAAGCTATCTAACCAAACGGGCTGAATACCTCACCAAAGTATAAATTCCAGGATTCCACAGAATGGAAACATGACACAGTCAAAGTGGTGTCCAACTGCTTTATTTTTGCAGTGTGGGGTCTCAAGTGTAAGGATCCTCCAAGGCAAGACTGAAATGTCTCCCCTCTTTTTGCCCATAGGATGGACCTTTCTGCTCTGGTCATCTCCTTCCATGGCCACACAGTGGCTGATGGAGAGCAAAGCATTTAGTTATGAAACACTATCTTCCAAACCTTCTTCAGGACTCTCAGGAGGTCCCAGGAGATGATGATGATGATGATGATATGTATTTATATCCCACCTTCCTCCCCAAAATTGGGACTCAAAGTGGCCTACAATTTAAATGCACAGTACAATTCAAAACATACAAAAGTGACCAGGAGATGCCTCTGTTGTTATATATCTGTTACATAGCCAGATGCTTCTCAGCTGTTCCTGCTCTCCATCAGCCCATGATAGGTTTGCATGAAGGGTCACCATAAGTCTGGAAGGACTTGAAGGCACACAACAACAACAACAATAACAACAACATGTTCTCTTATGCATGAGATTGTACCTCGTTGGCCACTTGTTTATTCCACTTAATTTCACATCCATTACACTGCAGATGGAATGAGAGATGAAAATACAAGTCCCTTTTACAGAACAGGCAGCTAACTTTTGCAACCCACGTCTGTTGCGA